CTCTTTCACTCATTTTTCAAAATATAATTTGCCTTTTATTTTCTCCTCTGTGTCAGATGTGAATTAGGAAAGTTGGATTCTTTGGGAATAATGAAAAATATTCTTGGACATGGTGAATTTAAAGTGACAATGGAATTAACATGACACTATCAGAAAGTTAGAGATGTGGTGCTTTAACTTAGCAACAAGGTCAGAACTGAAGATAGAAATTTGGCAGATATATGTACAAATATGATCATTTAAATTATGACAGTAGATGGCATTTTCAAGTGAAAGAGTGGAAACGGAGAAGTAGAAAGGTTCAAGGACCATTTTCCTTGGAAAAATAAGTGGAAAAAGTAAGTAAAGTGGAAAAAGTAAGTAAAGAGAACTGAGGAAGTAAGAAAACAGGCAGTGTAATTCAATATACTATTAAAGAAAATAAGAGAAGAGAGGCAGTGATGGTTTTACCCAAGTACAATTCGTTAGTTTACTTCTATTTGGGGGACAAAATTGCATTATATTTTATTCTTAATAACATGTAGAAAATTTTTATTCTATATCCTAAAGCAAAATCTACTTTGATGATTGGGAAATGAAAATTTTCCCTATTAGTTTAGTAATAGTTAAGTGAAGCTTTCTTTGAGTATACGCATTTTACAGTAAGAAAAGCAAAATTTAAAAAAATCGAATCAATTTTCCTCTTTCTAGTTGTTAAATTTAGTCTTAAATAAATTATCAGAGGTGTTCTTTTTATGACTAATTACATAGATATTTTTACTTCTTGAAGAATAGCACTGATTCAATTAAAATGATTATAGCAGATTTCTCTCCATACCATCTTTTTTTGTCTGTATGAAATCATAAAAGCAAAGTTTGATATAGGCACTGATTTCACTGAGCAGAAAATATCCAAATATCGGATACCTCTTTAAATGAATAATTTTTTATAGAAGGAATAAAACTGGGATTGTTGCAATAGTACATATTTTTTTCTACAGTACTGGCATCAGTTTTAAGGATTTATTTCCTGTTGCCTATAGTGTGTGATGGGTTTTATTTTCTTCCTGTCTCTTACATTTGCAGGAGTGCAATTTTATTCTGCAAAGCTTAAATAGCTCATATTCTTTCATGGTTTTTTTAATCTATCAAATTATTAAAATGAAAATTTGTATCTAGATCTTAGAAGCAACTATCAAAATTATTAAAATATCACAGCTTTCTAAAAGTTGCTATTAAAGGTGTTCATTCTGAAACATATATATCACTAGGCATAACTAATTGCTTTAGGCTATGTTTAACTAGAGAAGTTTCTGATAATATAATGAAGCCTGAGAGATAAGTATCTGCATCCCGATTCTCAAAGGGTTAAACACAAACAAATTGGGCTGAATTAAGTGCAACTCAAACCCTTAGTTACTCCTTTAGGCTCTGTAAATTTATTTCTAAAGACAGGTGCATCATTCTCTAACGTTGCCCAATAAATTACAGAAGTAGAAACAAAGCGCTCAAAAAAGTCATAAAAATAAAAGTGTTAGAATATAATTTCAGTTTCAGAATAATTTACAATTATATCACATCCAATAGGATACAGATTTTTACTGATAACCCGAAGACCACTATATATTTTCCCTGGGTATTACTATTCAAAACTTATTTCATAAATTTCATTTTCCCAGGTGCTGAACCTAATAGGCGAATTGCCATATTACTTGTGTTTTCCTTCTAACTACTATGCACTTTGAACTTCAAAATTACTACAGAATAAATAGCAGATCTCTTCTCTTTCAAAATAAGTCAACTCAGTTGAAAGCGAGGATTAATTCCCATTTCTTTCTATTTGATATGTGAGCAAGAAAATCACAACTGTCCAGAATAATACAATGCAACAATAAGAGTATTTACATGAGGAGTTCACGAAACTATTAATCCAATAATCCAAGTCACATTTAATGCTCTAAGGCAATTGCCAACAAAGTTTGCAGACACTTTGGATTACAAAGTAATGTCATCTCTGTTTTCTTAACAGAACATCTATTAAAATATCAACCCAGGAAATAACACACTGTAGATGTTTTAGGATATTCAGCTATAACACTAGTATCTAAATCATTAATGTAAACAATGTAGAAATAATTATTATGCAATATAAATGTTTATTTATTGCTATCATATTAATACTGTCTTACATTAATTCCCATTCTTTTGTTAAGTTCACTGAGAAAAAAATTTTAAAAAGCCGTTTCTCTGGTTGATTAGTTTTATTTTCCCTTAGGTTCATGAGAATAATAATTAAAATATACTAATTGATAGTTTAATGATAGTATTGGGTTTACACAGAATTTTTGATGAACAAAATATATTACCTATACAACTATAGGTAATAAGGAAACTGAAGATCAAACAGGTCAGGCCCGTGTGTCAAATTATTGTGATTAAACCATTTAATCACTGAATATATACATCGGGTTGGTTAAGGACTCTAATCTCTCATCGCTCGTGACTACATGGCATTTAGTTTAGCAGAAAAGACACTGTGGAAAATGACAACACAAAATTCTGAACTCTAATAGGTAATTAAAATTGCCTTAATAATTACCACTTTTTAATCACTTCTTGCCTATAATCATCATGAAGAAATCACCTATTTATGAAACATTTTATGGAAATAAACACACTTCTTTTATATATATAAAGACTACAGAAGTTCCTCCTTGATTCTATTTCCCAATATTTCTCCCTCAGCCTCAAACAAACTGGCCCACTTCTATGGCCAAGCTATTTTTATTTATTTTTTGGTGGAGTGAGGAAAAAACAGTTTATATTCTGTAATCTAAGTATTATCAACAGTTTCAGGAGTCCCATTTTTGAGTTTTCATATATCTGTATACTTTTCAATCACCATTGCTCCCTGCTGGCACTGCATTGCTTGGAGAATGTAAGGCAGTTGCAGAAGCTAAAGAATTATACACCTTTCTCAAACCCGTTGCGTAGGAAAGGGAGGAAAAAATCAGGTAGAGATAACTATATAACTTTGCCCTTTATGGTTTTCCTTTAGATTATTTGTTAAAAGGAAATTATTAAAGTTTCATGGGCTCTGCAGAGTCTTGCCTTGGTTTATAGGATAAAAAGGAAAAAGGAATATTAACTACTTCATTTCCAAAGGATAGACACTGCCTGCCTATGTGCATTAAAAGAATTCTTAGTCATTTGGGTTGCAAGAGCCTTGAACGACGATGTTTTAGGATGTGCCCTCACTGTGGATTCAATGCCCATGTCTGAGGTCAGGAGATCACAAGGCTTTATTCTGTGCCTGCAGTGATCACCTGGAGAAATGAGCACAATTACAGAACATTTCTGCAGCTTGGCTCAAATCTCCCTCTCTCCTTTATA